GAAAAAGATTATACAACGTTGCAACCTTAAAATGTAGAATTAAGATGTACCTCAAAAATACATCATAAAAGGTTGTTTTGATGTTGGAAAACACTTTAATTGATCATCTCGACATCGAGATGTATGAAAATGAAAAACAAAAATTTGTGTGTATATATATATATATATATATCACAGTCAGCAAAGGAATGTCAACAATGTCAAATTGACCTATAAATTTACCATTGTATTCGAGTATACAAAAATGTCATATTCGACTCCAATCAATCCAATAATAACGTCATCACATGAGATTGATTCAAATATTTGGAAAACTAAAATTTATGGACTGGTTAAAGCTTCTTCAAACCCTTTTGATGCAAGGAAGATGGGGAGAATAACATTATTCAAATTTTTTTTAATGAATAACATTATTCGAATTGGAAAACGGGAACATAAAATGTCTGAAACATTGAACTCAACCTAGGCCTGCAGGAGATTTCACTCCAGATATATTTCTTTCTTAGACAAATTTCCAGAAGTCTACTTAAAAAAATCCAACATCAGGTCTTCATAGGTAAAAATCAGCTAAAAGCTAACATAAAGCCCAAGTCACCTAAACCCGAACCAATCTTTAAATCCTAAACCCAAATTAAACATAATCTTAGCCACCCATCTGAAAAATAAAAACTAGACAACTGTACATTCTTTATAGAACAAAAAATAGAGCAAATTAACCCTAACAAAACGAAGCCAGATGACAAATAAAAAACAGTAAATCATCATAAACTACTGCTCCCAGCTCTATTCAGCTCCTAATGTAACAACCAAAAAACAGCAGCATGTTTAATGATTGATAAGTTAAGATGACATAAACAAATCGAAACTACTGCTGCTCTCTGATTTCAAAGATTTAAATAACAGTAATAGAGCCAGATGCATCTTGCAGTTTAACAATTATTTACTAAAGGAAGCAAGTCCAGCCATTGGTCTAATGAAGCACAAGAAAGCCACCTTTTTAATATCTCGAATTGCGAATAATCCGATACACACTTCTCCATTAACAATCCACTGATCCATCAAACAACAAACAGAAAGTCAGATAACTTACCTCAATACAGGAAATATTTCAATATTAATATAAGTAGTTCAGTGGTAGGAATGGAACTCTAGACACCACGTTGTGGCATCCCACCTCGCTGACCACCCAGGCCGTTCCCTTTTTTTTTCCATTAAGTCTATAAGAAAGATATTCTTAAAATTGCATGTGCAAAGTGTTACCCAAAAGAAAAGAAGCAGAACATTTGTCACGTAATTGCCCAAGTTATCATGATTCAAGTAAAACTAGTTTCGCCTAGTTAGACATCAAAAAAGGCAATCCAAAATCAGCTGAATAGAGATAACCAGAAAAGTCGATAAATCATGATAATTGAATCACTGCATTCAACATGAATGTTTATACACAAACATCCACATTATGCAAGACAGCCATGAAAGCCAAGACCAAAGAATTAATCACCTTCAGCTCAATGCCCAGATGTCCCAAAGAAACATCATGAAAGTAACAGATGAAGCAAAAGCTCAGAACAATTTAGAAAATTCTCATAATGTTATACAGAATTACATAAAGTCCAAAAAAGATGGGAAACATGGAAAGAAAAGAAGCTGTTTACAGCCCCTTCCTCCCTCTGTGTGTGTGTATATGCTTAGATAGATCCATACACATATTCGCAGACACACATGCATGTGCGAATGGGATAACAAGAGAGACTGCCTCCATGTTTCCTGGGGAAAGTGGCAAGGTACGGAATGAATGTATGCACTTACACTGAGTAGGTAATACAATTGAAAAAAAAAAAAAGGAAATATAGGAAAAGTAAAACGCTAGCTAATGGTAAGTGTTCTGCCAAAAAGTATAGCAGTAAAGTATAATGCTACTAGAAAAATAATAATTCATAAAAAAATGACCAAAGTAAGGTAATCAAATTAGTAGAAATGAAATACAATACAAGAAATGCAGATATTCTAATAATATTAAACATGTTGAAACAGGGAGAGAGAGAGAGAGAGAGAGAGAGAGACAGACAGACAGAGAGCAAAATAAATACATGAAACATAAGATATCCAAAATTGAGTAAAAATAAGTAAAATGTATCTATGGAGATTGTGTTGCACCCTTACACCGTTAAGACAAGAGGTCATATCCAACTTTTGTAGTAATATATATTCAGCAGAAGGTTGGTCTGAACAAACTATAGAAGTATTATTTCGGACCTCAGAAGCAATATTACCTCGAGACAAAGTTTACCTAAAAAAATTTAAAATGCAAAAGCTAGGTCAATTTTGAAGCTTAGAAAGAAAGTTCGTGCTCTAACAAATTTTCTAAAAAAGGGAGTAAAGATATAAATTAACCACCTGATATTTTGAACGTACAGAAAGACAAATAAATAACCAGGGGGCTGCTATTCTCACCATGCTTTTGCTATTTCCACCCCAAAAAGCACTGATGACAATAGTAGACAATTATAGGATTTCATATTGCAACCATGCTATGGGTGAGGACAGAATGAGAATGGCAGTCCCTGTAATCAACATTGTATTTGGAAAACATGCCCAGAACTTATCCATGGAAGAAATCAGAAAAACAGGAGAAAAGAGAGCCGTGAAGAATAGTCGCAACCTCCTGTATGAACAGTTATTCTCAATATTTTCATGTTCACAGACTACCCACAGAAACTTCTCCAAAGTTTAAAATCAAACCAAAATGCCTAAAACAAGAAAAAGGGGTAAAAAGCAAGTGATTCCCTTCATCTCTTAATATGTTCCGTACTCCCTGATTTATATTCATAACAGCTCCTCAAAATTAAAAGTTACAAAGTATGAATCACAAATATATATGAAATGCAACTGCTGTATCTCTTGTAGCTCACAAAAAGAAAGAATCCAGTGTAAGAATGTATTGAGTACAAGAAAACTGCTCCAAACATAATACAACTATGAACTGCACAAGGAAAGATGTCTAGATATCAACCATTAAGGGACAAACAAGAATAGATGTTTGCAGGCTAGCTTTTTTCACCTTCTCAGTTCGACAATTAGGCTCACAACTATGATTTATGAAACGCCCCAAATTTCCTTTAACGCATGCATCTATAACCTGAAAGAATAGCACGTAACACGGATGTAGTAAAGGCACTTTTCAATAACAGAACAGAAAAACTCTAGTGCAGCAAAAATCCATAGATAACATACATCAATGCTTTAAATCAAACCATGCAGTGCTTTGAAGAAACGGCATAAACTGAACTATTCCTCAGACAATAATTTCATAGAGGTAAGTGATATTCCAGCAATACCAGTAAAAAGTTGTCAGCTTTGGGGTTTCCTGATAAGTTTATAACCTGAGTGAAGTATTGTGTTAGTACGCCTAGCTTTTCCATATTGGTTAATGGCTCGCCTAAAGGTTACTTCAGAAGCAAGCGGGGGTTGCAGCACGGTGATCCTTTATCTCCTTATTCTTAATTGTTATGGATTTTCTAAGTAGGCAGCTGGAGGGGGCCTTTAAAAATGGCTACCAACCGTCAGCTTTTCCCTCTGGCTCGAACAATGGGGTTTCCCAACTACTATATGCAGATGATGTCCTAATTTTCTGTGAGGCATCCCCTAAGGCTGCAATTGCAGTAAGTAACATCCTGGATTCTTTCTGTGGGGCCATGGGGCAAAAACTCAACGCTATGAAAAGCAAAATTCTATTCTTTGGCTATGGCAATGGACTTAAATCAGAAATTATGGATATTCTTCATTTTGGGGAAGGGGGTCTGCCAGAGAAATATCTTGGGTTGCCTCTCTTTCATGGCGCTCTAAAACACTCCCATTGTCAAGCTTTGGTGGGGAAGACAGTTGCTAAAATTGCATCCTGGCAAGCTTTAACATTATCTTTTGCAGGTAGACTTTAGTTGATTAAGTCGATCTTAAGTGCTTCCTCAATCTACTGGACTTTATCATTCCTTCTGCCAGTTCGGACATGCAATATGTTAGAGAGATGTCAGCGGAACTTTCTTTGGGCAGGTACTTCAGATATGAAGGGACTACATCTTCTAAATTGGGAGAGTACATGTCTTCCCTTTGAGGAGGGCGATCTTGGGATTAGACATCTACAGGATGGGAACCTGGCTGGCATGATTAAGCTTGCTTGGAGGCTAGTTGCAAACCCCTCCTCTCTTATTTCTAAATTTTTCCAACACAGGTATTTAAAAACTCCTCCATATGGCTCTCTAAGATCAAGAAATCATCTCACGCTTGGAACGGCATCTTTTCTAGTTTAAACAAACTCAGGCGCAATGTTAAGTGGGTTGTGGGTAACAGTAACTCCATCCAATTTTGGGCAAATCCATTTCTTTCGAAGGTCCCTCTCTGGGATGAGTTTGGACATAATATACATAAGGACTTGGCTCTACCTACGAAGTCTAGTCTGGCTGATTTTCTCTCTGATAATCCCCAACAATGGTGCCTGCCTGACCTCACCATTGGACCCTACTCTCTGCGAAGAACTACTATTGGGCCTTTGTTTCGAGCTTGACAAGCGGTGAAGTCTTTCACGGTCCCTCTTCAACCTTTTGATGATTTCCTCGTATGGATTCACTCCTCGGACTGATCTTTTTCTATTAAGAGCGCTTGGAACTATATTAGAGACAGGGCCCCCACCAAAGAGATCTTCAAAAATTTATGGGCTTCTCATTCCCATCCTCGAGCCAAATGGTTCACTTGGATTGCCCTTCCAATTCGCCTCCCCACATCTGAAATACTACAATCTAGAGGGATCCATATAGCACACCGTTGCCCTTGTGCTTGAATGAAGGTGATTTTGTTAACCATATTATTTTATTATGTACTTTCTCGCAGGTTCTCTAGCGATCTATTATGTGGCAATGTGACAAAAGTTTCCCTATAGGCCCATCGATACCTTCAATATTTGAGAGCTGGTTGGGCAAATTCGGGTTTCGATCAGTCGGATTATGTAATGTTTGGATCTCTCTATTCTCCACAACCATCTGGCTCCTCTGGACTGAGAGAAATTTGTGTATCTTTGAAGGAAAGAGACCCAAAAGAGAACAATTACCAGATCATTTCTATAGTTGCGGGCTTAGCAAAGGTGAAAGGATGGACTTTCCACCCATCAAAGAAGCCTATAGTTGAGAACCTCAAAATCCCGTGGCACCCAATGCATCCTAAAACTTTGATTTTGGTCTCATGGTGTCCCCCCCAGCAGGTCTCTATAAACTAAACATTGATGGCTCCTCCCATGGCAACCTTGGAGCAGCTAGTTGTGGAGGAATTATCAAAAACGATATGGGAGGGTTTTGTGCCGCTTTTGCTACTCCTCTAGGCACACATCCAACAATGTTGCTCAATTTTCAGCACTTGAAAGGGGCATTCAGATAGTTATTGAGCTGCATTGCTTTCCACTGCTCATTGAGAGTGATTCGCATATTCTAATGCATTCCCTTCAAGGCCGCCATAAACCTCCCTGGAATCTCCGTATTATGACAAAAACTGCCTTTACCACCCGGATGGCCACCCCTGGAGTATTAAGCATGTCTAACAAGAGGCCAACTCGGTGGCCGATCACTTGGCCAAGAGTGCTACAAGTCTCTTGAGGCCATGGTTTGGCGTGCCCGACCACCTAATTTTATTTCTCCTCTAATTTCTTCTGATATGGCCGGGACTTCTAATGAAAGAACTGTATCATAAACTCTTTATCCTTTTGTACCACTCTTACTTATTAATGAAAAACGAGTAGGAGCCCAAATCCCCACTGACTTACCCCAAAAAACAATATAGAAAACGGGGCCTTCTTGCTGAAAAAATCAGAATTAAGTAGTTTAGAAGAAGAAAGGAAATGACTCTCGAGATAACAAAAGAAGGTTACAAGCAAGGGCAGAGTTTGAAGAGACTTGAAATAGGAGGAAGTTTTTGGAGATAAAGATCACAAACTAAATAGCACAAAGACGATGACCAAATTTTTTACTAGTATCAAGTCAAGAAGAAGGTTCTAGAAGAGACAGATAGTTTGAGGCTATAGCACATTGGTCGGAAAGGCTTTTCTAGAGAGAGGGGTGAAGAATGTCATTTTCAAACTAGGCCAAGATAGAACTCCGGTGGCCTTTTTACCAATTTTTTTTTAATTCTTAATATTATAACAGGAAGGCCTCATACAATTTTCTCAAAGTTCCAATCTAAAGGCACTTTTCACGAGGACTTGAATGCTACTTTCATTACAATAATCCCTCAAAAAGAGGGGGCAAAAGACATTAGGGATTTCTGATTAAGAAGCCTTTTGATGAGTACCTGTACGAGTACCTTGGTTCAAGGTTACGTAAGAGAGGTCCTTACCCAAGGGGCAAGAAATTCCGGATGGTGCTTTGATTGCGCATAAATGCAATCACCTAAGACAACAAATCGAAATTACTGGGTGCCTTGGGTGGCACATGGCCTTGGGCTGCGTGTCCTCTCAAAAACAAATCGAAATTACTAGGATAATTTGTGAGTTGGACCAAGAAAAAACATATGACCATGTAAACTACAAGGTGCTAGAGAAACCACTTCTCATGGGATTTGGGGAAATGGTGTTCCTGGATCTTCCCCATATCTTATCAGCTAGATTCTATCCTCCTCAAGGGAACCCCCTGTGGCTTTTTCTCTTGCTTTAGAGGCCTTTGTCAAAGTGATCCACCATCACGTTTTCTATCCTCAATTGTAGCTGAGACTTTCAGCATAATGATCTACCAAAAGTATGCAGCAAGCCCAATCCAAGGATACAAAGCCAGACCCAATGGACTCTCAATCCCACATCTTTAGTATGTCGACAATACATTGATATTCTACGTCCTAGATACAAATCACGTAGACGACCGGTGGTTATTTTTAAGATGTTTTGAGTTCACTTTTAGACTCTGAGTTTGTATGAATAAGACAAAGCTGTAGGGAGTGAGTCTAAATCTAACTATGCTCCAAGGTTTGGCCAATGGTATGAGGTATGGTATTGAACCAGTGCCAGGGAAGATCTTGGGTTACCCCATTGTTAGGGTAAACAGAAGAAGATTCTTCGGGATCTTTGAGATAGTATCGTTGAGAGGTTCAAGAGATGCGTACCCTTGGAAGTGTCGCTTCAAATGGGTATTGTAATACACTAGTGAAAACTACTCTCTCCAATCTCCCAGTTTATTCTATGTTTTATTTGCATACCTGATTCAGTGTTGAGAATTGAGCAACTACAGTGTAATTTTCTTTGGAAGGGCTCTCAATAGTCTAACAAATACCATATGGTAAATAAGGAGATAGTGTGCCACCCAAAGATCAAGGTGATCTCGGTATTAGACAATTGAAAAAGGGTAAATGCAGCTCTGTTGGAATGTGTCATTGACGATTTGGGGAGTCATGAAGTCAGTACCAATGTGCTACTAGTTGTTGGTTGTTCAAGACCAACCACAGGCCAAGAGACTTTCAGGTGCTTGGAGGGCTATTAAGAATACTACAGGCAAATTCTCGACGTTCATCAGATTAAAGGCCAGTTCTGAGAATAGAATTTGCTTTTGGCGAGAATTGTGGTGAGGGTCACAAGTGTTTACTGAGAGATTTCATGCTTTGGCAGACCTAGACCCCCAACAACAATATCTTACTCTCAGAGGTCTTCGAAAGAACAAATGGTCAACAATCACATACCCCAATTTTCAGGCGGAACCTCAAATACCAGGAGATCATGGAAGGGGTGGCACGCACCCCAATTTCAGGTGTGGATAAGTCGATATGGTCCCCAAGCAGCAAGGGCTTTCTCGCAGTAAGGTCCATTTACTGGTCTAGTTCGCTCTCCGCTCACAGCAACAGCATGACAGGTATGATAGGCTATTCGGTTCCACAAAAAGTTCAGGTATTTGGATGGCTGGTTTTCTTAAGATAAAGTGCTCACTGTTGACCATCTCAGAACCTGTGGTTTGTCTATTCCTAATAGGTGTATCACATGGGTGGAGGAAACAGCACATCATCCTTGTCTCAATTGGATAGCAACCCAGTCAGTATGGTACTTTTATGCTTCTGTTTTTGTTTCTTACATGGATTCTTCCACGAACTATGGACAAACGTTTTCAATGCCTATCCCCCACCCCAACAGTTGGGCCTCATTCTTTGGCATTGGGGCCTAATGGCCATGTTATGGCTACTTTGGCTGGAAAAAAATACAAGATTTTTCAAGGTAAATACTCAAATGTAGCTTAAATCATTCGGGGCCGTGTTAATGACTAGCACTTGTAAGAAAAGAATTTTGGTGGTATACACATAGCGATCAACATCCACATTGGCAGCAGATTAACCACAAGGAACAAAGATTTTATAATCAAAATTCGATCCCACCTCCCCCAAACACTATCAAGTCAAATTTCGATGGTACTTCTAGGGGCAACCCAGACACAGCAGGTATTGGATGTGCTTCTCAGAATCACCAGGGGAAGTTTGTGCTTGTACACTGGGCCAGCAGGTATTTGAACTGCCAATGAAGCTTAAGCCAAGGCCCTTTTAGGTAGCCTTAGATTATATAAATCTGAGTGGGGGCCTCTTATTGTGGCAGGAGACTCGACTAGTGCTATAAAATGGGCCCAAAACACTTCAAATTGCCCTTGAAACTTCAAGACATCTTTAGTGAGATTAAGTCTCAAGTTATCCTACAAGGCTCAAATGTAATCTTCCGGCACTCTTCGTGTAAGTTTGATGCAGTTGTGGAACACCTCATGAGAGAAGAAACTCAGATCCACCTTGTGTATAGCTACAGCAATCTAGTTAAGTTGTTACTATTTTTGAAATATTTCCTAGTTTTGTATACACCATCTTGTTCATAGTACACATGCATATACCAATTTTGCGACTTTTGATCTCACCATTACAATATAAGATTGCTACTAATAAAAAATAAATGAACCGATCACAAATGTTCTCAAACCCTCCCAACATGAGAATAAGTATCACAATGGTTGCATTCATTGCCCAGTTCTATAATGAGAAGATATGGAGAGAATGATGTCTCATAACTCAACCCCTTGGTACCGAGTTAAATCATCAGTCATCGAGTTTGCCTCTATTGGAGAAAGACAAATACCAAAGAAATTAGGTTTCATTAAAATTTTCCTAAATCAATAAACACTGCCTTTAGCAAAGTCCATAAACAGCATCTGGTTCAGGATAGCAAAAAGGCACCGGAGCATTATAGCATTGATTTCAAGACATGTACAGTCATATCACTTTTTTAAGACCCAATGTTGTTTAGCCTCCTCACAAATCTCTACATCATTATAAAAATAAGTTCCAATGGATCCCCAACTTCATACGAAATCCTACTGTAGCTTTTATGTTTGTGAGCAACTGTGCAAGGCACCCAGTAGAGTCAATAGAAGACCCGAGAAGTTTACATTCATTTTCCTATTGTCGCAAAACAGAAATCTCCACTGATTAACATGTAAGATGTAACCTACAAGTTATGTAAAAAATTTGGAATAATAGAGTAAGCACGCTTTGAACAATGAAGTACTTCTTATTGACATCATTAAAAGACTGTTTCGTGGATTTTTCCACTTCAAAGTATAGAGACAGACAGGTGATCCATTCATAACCCATGTGTGAGAAGGGATGGGGCTCTTCGGAAAGACTTCACATTCATTAGTAAGATTCCCTCACCAAAGGGTCTCTAAAACAGTGAGGCAGTACAGAATTTCTCAACAGATTTATTTTCTTGTTTTATGTTTTGTGTGTTTTTCTTTTCTTTTTTTTTTTGGGGCGGGGGGGGTAACCAGCTGTAGGATTCGAACCATAGTTGTTGGGAACGCAATTGGGAACTATTCCAAAATTGGGGGGCAGGGTCGATGGATCGATGACACCCAGAAGCTCCTTATGATAGGGAACGATGTCCGTAGAATATTAAATCTAAGGAACTTGATCCCTGTGTTCTAGGGATCAAGCTCCCCAATTAGATAGACGATCAAGTTCCCAATTAGAAAGAAATACCACCATAGCCTAGTCACTATGAGCTCCTTACATTGGTCACTTAATGATGTCTTCCAAACTTTGAGTAGTTGTCTAGCATCCGCATTCATGGTTTTGTGTGCTAATACAGCTGGCTATTTGTATATAATGCATCACCTGAAAAACCTGATTGAGGGTGCCGGAATTTGATGTCCATACAAGATTAAATCTAAGGAACTCGATCCTTGTGTTTTAGGGATCGAGATCCCAAATTCTGAAAAAGAGATCAGTAGAAGATCCCTTTCCTGAATCTAAGATCGAACATAGGCGATTCCAGTAATTATGGTTTGCACTTAGGACATAGTGTTGCAATCATCAACACCTTAACCTATCAACCCCAAACCCAAATCCTGGATGGACCATTTCATCTATTGACTCATTTTTTCAACTTTATAAATTGTTTTCCTGACTCCCCTTGCCATTTAGCAATTTTCCTGTTTGTTTTGCTTTTGTCTAATAACCAACGCATTACATATCACTGAAAAGGTTGGCCTCCCAAGATATAGTCAGCAACACCGAAAAGCCAACCGAACAAGTAATGCATCACAAGCCAGCAAGATATAACTCAACTAACTCAATTAATGCAATATATTGAGAATTAAAGAGACCATAATTCAAAGCAAAAATAGGTTCTACAAAATTATGAAATATGGCTCAGGTATAGGGGAGAGCACACCTCGTTCCCATTCAATGTCATGAAGTAAAAATGTTTTTGACCTCTAGCTGCATACTCTTTCTGACGCGCTTCATAGGTAGCCATATCCAGCACCTGCTCATACAATTCCACAAATGTGTCAAACAACCAACCCAACTTAAGTACAAATGTTATATTGATGAACAGTATAAGTTTTAAGTAAATTGAAACAATAGAAACAAGATAGTCTCAAATTCATTGAGTAACATAAGTTCACCCATGAATGTCAACTAGATTCGAGCTTAAGGTAGCATGATCTTTAAAGACCATAAGGCCAACTCAGAATCACCTCTCCAACATATTCAATAAGAAAATCTCCCTGAGAAACATCTTCCTGCAGCTGCAAGCCATAGCCTTTTTTTCCACAGCGAATCCACTTAAAATTGGCATACTTCCTTCGTTGGAACTGAGACAAGAAAAAAACAACAAAGATTATACCGATTTCTACGATGGAAATGAATTAGGTAACTGAAAACATATAGGAACATAGGTAAAGAACCTGCTGGTTTGAGCATAAATCCCCACAAGGGCAGGTACCCTGAACGCATTCTATATTAAGCATCCGATTCAGGCAATCATCTTTACAACCCAAGATACCATCTACAGGAGATTTGCAATGGCAAACCATAATCTGATAAGAGAATAACAGCTGAATAATTAGGAAAATAGCCCATATGAAGGGATGAGAAAAACATTAGAGTTTCAGTGAATTAAATTCCATCTTCTGATATAAAAATAAGTGGATACCATCTAAAGAACATCAGTTCACTAAACAAACTATGCTGATATGGTTGATGAAACAAACCACAGCATTCATTTTCATAAAACACAAATAATGCCACCACATTTTTCCCAAACTTTACCAAGTTTAATAATATATTAACACTAGAGGATGGCAGTTGTCAGCAGAAGACATGATCTCCCACAAACCGTTTTTATACAATGCATTAAGCAATATTCTTCAAGAATGAATAAGTTCATATGTTCTCAGATATTTAGGTTATAGTCAGACCCAAACTCACTTTTGAACCCCATCCTAAACTGGGAAGTAGCTCAATGATCAACATTAGAGGAGAATATTTTATCCTTATTTCTGGAAAAGAAATAGCTATCATTCTGCATTCAATTCTTCACCTATATCTTTAGGGCAGGTTTTGAACTTTAAAAATCCAAAGCTCAACCAAAACTAAAGCGAACTTTGACCGAAGTTTCAATAGTCCCCCTTATCTTTTCACAAGAAAAGAAAATCAGCTGAGAAGAATGCACTTCCGCTCCAACAAAACCAAACTGATACTCAAACTTGTAAGACTTGAATTGTTTTAACCGTACTTGCAACGACTCAAATGCAGGAAAGGTTGTAGCAGAAAAGTGAAAGGGAATCTAATTCTTCCACGTAAATTAAATAAATAAAGCAATTTGGAGGCAGGCCTAACCTCATCGATTGTCTGGCTTTTACGGCTACGGTGCAGAAATATATTATGCTCAATAAGCGTCCAAGACATCTGCTGCGAAGCTACAAATGTAACAAAGGAAGATGTAACAAGCAAGGACATGAAATCTAACATCAAGAAAGTGGCGCATCAATCGCATGACATAAGCATAATGCAGATGATGGTAAATTGCAAGTCAGCTCAGGAAGCTGAAAAATATAATAGAATATGCTACCTGTCAACTGTCTGGCATCTAGGCCTTTGGGACAATGACGTGAACCACAGTTATCTTCCTCACCCGAGGCATCAGATATGTCCAACTCTGCATTGATTTCAGCATTTGACTTCTCCTGGGGTATTGAGCAGTCCGCAAATGCCTTGTCCAAGTTATCCTTACATGTCCTTTCAGTGGATAAATTTTAGCCTTGTTAGGATATGAAATCCAAAATAACCCAACTAAAAACCCACACCAATGTCATTGCATCAACAAGATCGCACAGAAATCAACTATTAAGATACATGCTTAGACTTATAATTATATGAGCAACAGAAAGTACTACTTGTGTCAACTATGTTCTCCTCCAAAAGTTTTACTGGCCTTAACTATGTTCTCCTAAAAATGCAGTGGAAAAAGAAAAGGGAAATTTTCATACACACCCCCAATTCTTATACCAATTTTGCGATAGCCCCTCCCCATATTTTTCTGTCAGGCTGCATTAAAGTGTACCAAAACATTCCATCTTACCCCCTCATCTCCTCTCTATACTCTTTCCTCACTTTTTTAACATAAAATTGCCATTGACCATTGTTCAAAAATTCAATTGCGTGGGTGGCCAGGCAGCCAAAATGCCTAGGAGGGCGCCCTGGGCATCCTTGCGCCTAGGCGCCGGCCTAGGCAGCCAAGGTCGCAAGGTTGCCTCAAGGCGAGCGTCTAGGCAAAGCCTTGGAACAACCTTTTTTATTTTTTCTATTTCCGGGCTTGTTTTATTATTTGGTGGCTTGTTTTACTATTTTTTCCATACTTTAACACGCATGCAATGAGTTAAATAAATATTTTATCTTGGGAACCAACAAAGCACACGTATTTCTTCCTTGCCAATGATCCAAAAAACGTCGGGCAGCGCCTAGGCGGTCCCCCTTGGTGCCTCGGTTCAAAAGAAGCAAGACATGTCCAGCAACCCTGTTTTAGGTACAGATTTTGTATAAAAAATACATATTCATGCATTTTTATAACCCAAACAAAAAAAAGGTAAAAAATACCCTACAAAATGGGTATTTTTGCACTAGGTGGGAGTAGTCCCCTAGCCGCCCGCCTAGGCGGGATGCTAGGCGGGCGCCCAGGGACAACCTGCGTAGTTGGTCCGCCCAGGCCTGGGTGGTGCAGCCAGGGCCCCCCTAGCCCGCCTAGGCACTGGGCAGACCGCTTTTTGAATTAGTGTGCATAGGCTGCTTCATCCTAGGGAAGCAACAAAGGCCACTTGCTTCCTCTCTCTCTCTCTCCAACAAATGCCACATGGTCTCTCTCTCTCTCTCCTCTTCTTATTCTTCTTCTTCTTCTTCTACTACTAACTATTTTTCCATACTTTAACAGGTAAGAAAGGAGTTAAATAAATGGTTTATTTTTTAGAACTAATAAAGACCACATGCTCTCTCTCTCTCTCTCTCTCTCTCTCTCTCTCTCTCTCTCTCTCTCTCTCTCTCTCTCTCTACTCTACTCTCTACTCTCTCGCCGTCCTACCGTCGTCGTCGGTACGTCGTACTACCTTACTTACGTTACGTACG